TTTTGACCGACAAGGGCTGTTTTAACCGCTGGATAAGAAATATGCGTTTTTACTTGAGATAGGCTATCTCTTGTTTCAGTTTATTTACCTCGTGGTTAAGTTCCTCCTTCATCTCCGAAAACTCCTGGCGGAGGACGAAGTCCTCACAGTCTAACTTCGGTAAACGTAGTAGACATCTTGGCCGTTTTTAGTGAGCGACCGTGACGGACGAAACAAAACGTGGTTAAATAATTTGGAAACAGCCCCCCCCAATTCCCTATTAATCCTTTCTCGAAGTCATGAAGAAAGACGCTGGGAAGGATGAGGAAAAGCATAAAATTATGTAAGTCATTTTTAAGGCAAAGACTCAGTCTTCTCTCTAAAAATACAGACATTTGATGACGACATATGAATTGACAGGTTATTCCAAAGAGAATCGCTATTGAAAAATCAAGACAAATTTACTTGAAGTCATGTTATTTAGGGGATAAACATTTCGCCAATGAGCTTCCGGTGCACATCCCAGGTTAAAGCTGAAGGATGCGCGAGGAGAGTAATGAAGGAAGATTTAGCAGTCACAAGTCATAGAAGGCACCCATCATATTATAGAGGAGTCTGAATTATAGATTTTGGCTATCTAGAATCAACCCTGTACGTTTATGAACATGAAGATTTGATAAGGCATATGCCTTAAGGCAACTTCCGAACTCACGTGACTTTCCATGCAACTCCACCAATCAGTGATTCGTCCTTAGGACTTTTGACGTGTAAATACTTAGCCTGGTTGTCAACTTTTATATCGAAATGAACCAATATTCTTATGATCCGGATCAGAAAATCCCACAAGACCAGGGGTACAACCTGCCAAATTACTTTCAGCCATCTAATGCGTTTCCTCAAACTCCGAATTATGCCTTCAACTATGCCCCGGAAGTATATTCCGGGGTTAATGCAAATCCCTCTATGCCCAACCAACCATTTAATGCCCCCGACAGCCAACCTTTCGCTGGCCAACTTGTGAAAAACGTGGCTTTACATTATGGTTCAGAAGCGATTGATCAAAGCAGACAGCTGATGCAGCAAAAAGTACTGTGCACAATTATGTTGTCTACAATTTAGGTAGAGAGATTTATTTCTATCTCAAAGCTGAAGTATTACTTTGCTGTTGACAATGGTTACGTGGCGAAGAAGCTTTCGGTTCTCATGTTCCCCTTCTTCCATCGCGTGAGTGTACTTTTTCCTGGGTCATGCTTTGAGTTAAACCCAACAAAGCTTTTTTAACACCTACAGCAAACGGAGGTTGCACGTTTACACTACGAAATACAAAATTCGTTTTTTGAAAAGAGGAAAACCTTAGGAAAAAAGATTGATTGACAGAAATCTATTGTCTGAAGTTCTGTTTTATCTGCTGGACTAAGTAAGTAAGTTATCATACTCAGCCCCAGGTTGGCAGATCTATGTAGGCAGCAAAATTCGAGTGGTTCATACTCCTGCGGTCTTAAAATCTTATGAAGTGTTGACACAAATAAATACCTTAAACAGGCTGGAAGAAAGTAATCTGATGGAGCTTGGGTAGTCAGAGTGCCGAAACATCTTCAATTTAAAGTTCAAGAGTAGTTGAGATAACCCTAGAGTTGTGTCACAAGCTAGATACCTAGAATATTTAAGCCACACAGAGAACGATCATGAAAATTAACTGTACAGGC